AGAGATACACAGATACACACAGACACAAACAGACAGACACACAGGCACAGACAGACACACAGGCACAGACACAGACACAGACAGAGATACACAGACACACAGATACACACAGACACAAACAGACAGACACACACACACAGGCACAGACAGACACACAGGCACGGACAGTGATCCCGATTATTGCTCTCCCGTGTCCATGTCCTTACCAGCCCTGCCTATAGATGGCGACAGTGAGGCCATGTATCGGCAAGATGAAAAGAGGCACATTGCTGGGGTATAATGGGTACAAACAGAAGCAGTGCTTTGTTTCTTAGGAAATGGGCCCCAGAATTCGCTGAAAGATGACGGCATTCCTCAGCGGGGGGGCGCAGGGGCTCAGTGGGGGGGGCAGAGCGGTGCCCGATTACACTGTTATTAGCATGAGTGTCGCGTCTCCCTCCCCAGCTAATCCTGCTTCCTAACGATCGTAATGAATGAGGTCGTTAGCATGTTGAACAGCCCCAGGGAAGGGCTCCGTTATCTGCCGCAGTCAGGAAGATGCCGGAAGGGACGACTGCAGGGCTGCAGGCATCTATCCAACGCCTGCATGCCCTTTCCGGCGGGGCTAGACCCCAGTGCGGTGGGGCTAGACCCCAGTGCGGTGGGGCTAGACCCCAGTGCGGTGGGGCTAGACCCCAGTGCGATGCAGGATCTCGCCGCGTTATCCCCTCATGACATGTGCTGTTACAGTCAAAAGCTCAGAGGATGGGGGGGCAGGGGGGCTCGGCCGGCAGCATCCAAATCCGGGTTCCCCATGTCCCATCCTGGTGTTTCAGTGCTGAGGGCTGTGCCGAACCCTGAGCCGTAACTGACTGCCTCTCTTTCCTTACAGATTGATGACGACACTGTGGAGGAAATCAGGAAATTAATACAGAAAGAAGTATTAAGAGTATTTGAAGGTACTGAGAGCGGCGCCCCCCTCTGCCCCATCAGAGTATTACAGCCCTTTGCTGACCTCCTCCTGACTCACTGTTTTGTCTCGCAGAGCTGTGGTCCAGTCAGGCCCCTCAGACAAAGACCCCAGCTGCCATCCTCGCGGCACAGGTCCGTCACGGGACGCCAGGGCCCCCGGGGCCCCCAGGCCTCCCCGGCAATGATGGCTTCCCGGGGCCCCCAGGACAACCTGGCTCCCCAGGTAGGCCGACAGCCTAAACCCCGGTGCTGTGCCCCCCCTCTGTGGCCCTGCTCCCTAACAGAGTGACCTCCCCCCCAACCCCAAAAGGAGCTGAGTTTGCATCTAACCCCAGCGTGTCACCCTCTGGCTCAGAGCCGGCCGCTGTCTGGCGGTGTCGCGCAGCTGCCAGGCCCCTGCCTTTAAACGGCCACAGGAAGCCAGGGTCTCTCTCGCTGTGGGCTGGGAAAGGAGCTCCCCTGAATTCACCAATAGGGGGCGCTGAGTGCTCTGAAGGAGATGGATAGTCACAGCAGCATCCTTATTGACGCTCCTCCCTCCTCCCACCCTGAAATGAGTACATGAGGGTTTAGTTATCAAAAAGCTTGGCAGGAACGGACCTGAGGAACACGCCCCCCACAGGATCGCCGGACCGTGGGGGGAGGGGTCTTATTCTCCCATGGGGGTGACAGTAAGACACAGCAGCCCTGCATCGCACTCCTGCATGGACTAGCCACTCTGCCCGACCCGAAGAGGACTCAATCCAGATCGGCGTCACCCCTGTGGGGGGGGACCCATACCATCACAGGATTTCCCTCTGAAAACCATTAGCGTGTTTAGTGTGTTTTATAACTATGTAACAAATTAAAGTGTCTTGTGTTGTAGCGCACAAACAGCTACCTCAGGATAGTCAGTGTGGGTTCTGCCTTCCCTGACAGCACACTGTAACTGCGCCATTGCATGAAGCACAGGGCACTCCTGGTTTTCGCCTGGTTACACAGGCGTGCATAACCTGACGCCAGAGATGTACCTGTGACAGCGGCACGTCTGTCATTACTGTCAGAACTGAAATTCACCGCCTGCAGCGTCACAGAGCTGATGTGTATGTTTGTGTTCGTCCGACAATAACTGTCTACTGCCCTTTGGAAAATGGGAAAACAAAAAAGTAATAAAGCGTAGCTGCTGTCCCAGGTTTACCCCCCCCCTTTTTATCACACCAGCCCTCCTTTCTGAGAATCCTCACCACCCCCAAAGGAAGCTTCCGAATGTCTGCTGAAGGATGCCCTGCGGAGCCTTCTCTCTGCAGCTCCACATTTCCTCTCCATATACATTTCTGTATTGTTATTTTATCATTTTGCTTCATCGGCCCGCTGTGCTGCTGAGTTTACACGCTGGTGGGGCACAGCAGCAGATAACTCCGGGAAGGTGACCGGCTTGCTTACCATCTCGTAAGCCTCCCCTGCATCTCACATTCCTCTGTTTAATGTTCTTCTCTGAGATTGTTGCTCTGTTCCAGGAAATCGTCGTGTTTGTGAGGCTGACCTGACACTTGCAGGCACTCGGTCTTTCTGTTTATTCCCTGTAGATTATGTTTTTTTTAGTGATGAAATGTTTTTGTTTGGAAACGTGCATCGTCATGTGATTTCTACATACATAAATGTATTTGCATGTGTAAGCTAAAGGAACGGGATTCATGTTTGTAACATACATGTGAAGCCCACAACTTGGAGCTGCTTTTGTGGCGTGACGGATCTATGAGAAACTGCTTTTTGAATATCATTCTGTTATGAAGGTATTAAAGTTGTATATGTTAATAAACCACAACTGTCCTCCTTTTAGGGGACTTTTAATGTGATACATGAAAGGGTACCTTTAATTTGACATTCATCTTCTGTGTAATACATTATGCATGTGGGTTTTACACAGTCACTTTGGCTTTATATTTTTTAAAGAATTAAAAGTGAGTAAACAGCAATAGTATGAGTGAAGACAACACCAGCCCTGCTGACACTGGGCACCTCACTCTCGTTTATTGTTGGGGGTGTTTTAGTAATATTCCCTTTAAACTCTTTGACTCTTTTTTTTGTGGAATTATTGTTTTGCACTGTAATTTTTGCATAGGGCTGTCACCGAGATACGGTGGATAAGTGTGTTTCGTTCTGCGTAAGTGTGTATCATTGCGTGTGGAGACACAGTTGCACATCCTTGTTGGAGCCAGCATGAGGCGCTGTCTCCAGTGACCAGCTCCTACTGCCTGAGAAGCGTCTCACTCAGGCTGGAGTGTCATGACCTCCATCCACCCTGACGGAGACAGCTGGGCACTGCTTTCTCTTTAGTCTTGCCCCCTTGCCTCCCCTCCCCCACTCATATGTAGGGCACCTGCCCCTTAGCACACCACCTATCTGTTAGCACACCTGCCCGTTAGCAGACCACCTATCTGTTAGCACACCTGCCCGTTAGCACACCACCTATCTGTTAGCACACCTGACCGTTAGCGCACCACCTATCTGTTAGCACACCTGCCCGTTAGCACACCACCTATCTGTTAGCACACCTGCCC